GATACATCATGTAAAGGTACAAGATCCCAATGATGAATGTAACTGTATTTTATACCTAAAATGTACCAATAAACTTAATGGGAAAAAAAAAGAATAAAACTAACCCAGGGCCCAGGGATTTAGCTCAGTGGTTCCATCACCTGCCTTGTAACTGCAAGGTCCCAAATTCGATCACCGGTACCAAAAAAAAAAAACTAACCCAATATTGTCTTGTCCAAGAGAGGAATATCAGGGCAGCAGAATCCCACTGGGCTCACTGATAAGAGTGAAAACTTGGAATGTTGGAAGTCAATGGCACAGTCATTGGGCTCCCTTCCTGTGCACATCTTATATTCACAGTGATGACCCAAGGATTCCAGACTTGGCCTGATTTCTGTTCCATATTGATCTTCTTGAACGTCTTGTAGACAAAGGACATCTGCATCAAAGTGTTTTACTTCTTTCAGAATACTGTGAAACCTAAAACTCCAATTTAATACTGGCCATCACCAGTGTCTGTAAAGGTAGGAATTATCTTCCAAAAAATCTTATGAAAGTATATTATAGGACATTACTGAAAAGTCAAACTTGTTTGCACTGTCTTCACATTTGGAATCAACATTTTTGTCTCCTGGGATCTTGGCATTTTCTTTATTATGGTTTCCAGTTCCTTTTTATCATGCCTTAGTGTTTTCTTTGCTTTGACAAAGGCTCACTGCCTCTGAGTGCACGATGTAACGAGACAGATGAATCAAGGGTTTCTGGTTCAGGTGGTCAGGCCTCTAAGCACAGTATGGAAACTGAGTTCTAGATGCAAACAAACAAGGTGGCCCCTACTTCCGTGAGAAATGCCTGCTACTTAAGTATGGGTAGGGAGTGCAAGAATAGTGTCCAAGCCACCTCGTCCAAATAGAAATATGTCTGTTCCAGCAACACTACTGCAGATTCTCCCATAGTGTAGTCCAGTCTCTGCCCAGACTCTTCGGGTGATGCGGAAACATGGGATACATAGCACCATGCTTCATCTTCCCCTCTGCGAGCATCCAGTTTCCAGGAGTCTAGGGCTCCATCAAAGCCTCTAGACCACTCTCGCTGGCCTAAAGCTCCCCAGGGTCCCCATCACTTGGAGTCTCAGCCAGGCTGCAAGGCAGCCCCCAGCCTTTTTTATATATTTTTAAAATTTTGAGACAGGGTCTTGCTAAGTCACTACTTTGTCCAGGCTGGGCTTGAACTTATGATTCTCCTTTTTCAGCCTTCCAGAGTCCTGGGATTACAGGCAAGCAACACCACCCAAAATAAAACTTTTAAAGCTTGTAGATAAAAAAGAATAAGGGTATGTAATTTCTAAAACAGATGTTGGCACAGGTCTCCTAGATTTGAATGTAAATCTGGAAGAAATTTTCTTGGGAGAACATCAACAAGATTTCACACTCCTGAAAACATGAGGTGCCTCAGAAAGAAATAAAATGGCTCAAACATTATATAAGCTTTTGAAGAAGATTACAAACCAAGAGAAGAGGTGTCCACTAGCCATGAGCTGGAAAATATGTTAGTCAGCTTTCCATCACTGTGACAAAATACCTGAGGTAATTGACTTAAGAGGAAGAAAGGTTCACTTCAGCTCACAATTTCAGAGGCTCCATTCTACACTTGATTGGCTCCGTTGCTTTTGGGCCCAAAGTGAAACAACATCTTGGTGAAAGCACATGGTGGAGCAAAGCTTCCCATTTCATGGTGGCTGAGGCAAAGAGAGAGATAGGAAGGGGCCTGGGTCCCATTATCCCATTCAAGGATAACCCACAATGACCTAGCTTCATCCACTGGGCCCTAGCTTTTAAAGGCCTTACTGCCTTCCAATAGCTCCACAGGCTGGTAACCAGGCCTTTTGGAGAGACATTCTAGATTCAAACTATAAGCCTGGTGTGGTAGCGCATGCCTATAACCCCAGCACTAGGGAAGCTGAGACAGGAAGATTGCTGAGTGTTTGAGGTCACCCTGGGGTACATAGTGAGTTCAAGGGAAGCCTGAACTACATAGTGAGTCTCAAAAAAATGAAAAAAAATTCAAACTATAGCAGGTGAATAGTTAGAGACATGTGATAAAACATATTAATGGAATGTGAGTTCTAACACCTGGGTGTCAGGTATAAACCTCATAAAACCTCACCTGGGGAAAGCTGCCTTGCAAGCTTACAGGGCCATTCTCAAAATTCAACCCAACCACCAAGCAAGCTCCAGGAAAAAATGTGGACCCAGGAGGAACTGCCAGGTAAACCACGATGCAAGGCCCTCAGGGAGTCCAGCAGAGCTTTGCGTCCCTGCTTATGCCATTGGACACTGAGGCCCAGGAGGCCACACAGAGGTCACAGAGTCACAAGGAGCATCTTAGTTAGACCCTGGGCCTTCAGGCACCTGTATAGTATTTTATCCACAGCATTTCCTCTTCTAGCTCCTAAGCCGGGTTCACTCTGGTTGCCTCTTACAGTGAGCCTCAAAAGTTATTCTATCCCAACTCCCGGAATATATTTTCCTCCTAGCTGTCCCAAGGGCCTGTCATTGCCCTTTAAGAGAAAAAGAATCACATTTATCACACAATTCCAGGACCAGGAATTGGGTCATTTACTAGTCAACATGGAGCATGGCTAGAAAAACTGAACTCAGGAAAATCCACAATGTGAATTAAAGCATTAGGAAAGTGAAGGCAGAGACCCTGAACTAGCTGGGGTGCACCATGTCCTCACTGGGTGACCTTGGACAAGTCCTCGAGACATAATGAGCCCAAGTTTCCTCATCTACAAAGTGGGCATCATGTGTCACATCTGCTGCTGTACAGGTTGTTGTAAAAATGAATGAACCTACACATACGAACTTGTCGTGTAAGCTCTACTAAGAAAGTGGCTCTTAAGCACTCCTGGGACCTGGATGTAGTGAGTTTGAGGTTCCTGGGTCAGCTTTGGGGTCCCTGTGCTTGACCTTGTTCTCACTGCCTGACACGCACAATGATCCCACCAGCATCCCCCAAAAAGCATCCCCCATCTCAGCAGAGTTTCCATGGAGTTGGCCCTCAGCCCTGAGAGGGTGCGAGCTCAGAGGCCACACAAATGCCAGAAGGAAGTGGCTGGCTCGCAAGGCTGTGCCTTGGGATGGCTGCAGCCTGCACGACAGCGTTTAATTTTCTAAGGAATGTGGGCGGTGGAGCAGAGCTGCTTCTCTGGTTATGGTGGAATTCTGCAGGCCTCAGCCAGCCCCCAGGGGTAGCGTGGCAATTCGCTGCCCTCCTGCTGGCCCATGGCCTATTTGTCCAGAGGCAGACTTGTTCCCTGCAAGACCCAAGTCAGCCAAGCCCATCCATCACGTGCTCTTCTGTCCGTCTGCCTTGCCCTCTCCTGCCCACAGTCACATGGCTGAGGGTGGTGGGCACTGGGGCTAGGCTCGGCCCCCCATGCTGCCCAGAAAGACTTCTGTAAAGCACACTTTTCCTCCCAAAAGTGCAGCCCCAGCCCGCTCTCCTAAGAGCCCCCCGGCGACACCTGACTGGTGTGCAGTTACCTCCTGCCTATGTTTAATTCATGGCTGGGGGTTGGGATGAGCTTCCAGAGAAAGGAAAGAACTCCCCTGGGGTTTCGCCCAGTTCCTGTCCACCCCACAGGACACAGCTAAAGCCCCAGCCTTCTCATTTGGGCCTGGGGCTGGGGAATGGAAGCTGCTGATGGGCCTGAAGGACACTGTCTCCGCCTGGGTACAGCCATCGGCCTCTAATCCCCAGCCCTGGAATGTCTGCGAGCCAATCAGCAGGGCCTCTGAGGGCTCCCTGAGGGTGCCAATAATCCTGCAATGATTAGCAGGGGCCACGAGGTCAGTGCACACTGCTCTGCCTGCAGTCGGTGGGGCAGGCTGGCCAGGCCGGGAGGAGCCCGACAATGGAGGCATCCTGGGGAGCTGTCTGCCTCTTTTCAGTCCAGCACTGATGCTGGCGGCTGTTTGGACACACTGATTACTCTCTGGCCTCCCCCTTCTGTCTGCCAGCCCAGCCCGACTCCTCAAGCTTCGAACAGCTCCATCCACCCCAGGGAGGAGCTGGACGGCTGAGCCAGGCTGTGCCCGCAGCGCCTGACAGGCCCATGCTACAGCTGGAGTCCTCCCCGGGACTGGGAGGCCAAGGCCACTGGCCAGGCCTCCTGTCTGTGCTCCTGACTCTCCTTGGCATCACCTGGGCGGACGTGTGGCCACCCCAGCTGCCAGAGCTGGCTCCAGTACCAGTAGGTAAGGACTACCTGGTAAGGACAGAGGTGGAGGAGCCACTGAGAGGTCTTCGAAGGGGGTGCCAGGACTGCTGGAGGCCGGGTCTCAGGCCCAAGGCCCGGGCTGTGCTGGTGTCAGTTGATGAGAGACCTGGTAGGACCGCTCAGGGTGTGATCCTGGGGCTGGGGAGGAAGCGGGATGAAAGCGATGGGTCCAGGGTTGGGACCAAGGGGGGGCCCTAGCAGAGACACAATGGAATGGCAGCCAGTGGGCTGTGAGGAGTGCAGGCCTGGGCCCTCCCCACACTCTCCCCTGGCCTCTCGTTCTCTCCACGGACCCCTACTCAGCACTGTCCCGGCTCTGGTCTCTCTCTTCCCACCCCGTGCCTGTCTCCACCTTTGGGTCTCCATCTCTGTGCCTGCACCCTCCCACACACCCATGTCCCATCCCTCTTAGGTCTGGTGTCCTGTAGGTAAGGGTGACTCGCCTTGCCGTGGGGATGGGTGCAGGTCCAGCTGCTGGGTGGCCTGACCTCCTCTCCCGGCCCCCAGCCCTGAGCAGAAAGGAGAGTTTCTCTCTTCTGTCCCTGCACAACCGCCTGCGAAGCCAGGTGCAGCCTCCTGCGGCCAACATGCGGAGAATGGTGAGTGCTCTGGCCCTGCTCTATGGAGATGACAGCCTGCTAGAGGGAGGGACAGAGACCCTGGGCAGTCAGGGGCCATGCCAGTGCCAGGCATGCTTCCACTTGGGTAGGGTGGGCATAGACAGCCAGTCATCCTAGTCACTGGGGGGCTGAAGCTCTGGTTGCTGGGGGGCTCTGTAGCTTTCTTCTCCCCAGGAGGTGCTTCAGCATAGGAAGCCAGGCCCCTTGCCTCATGCTTGTGTGAAGAGCAGACCTTGGGGCTTCCCTGGCATCCCGTTGCCATGGAAACCAGACACCATGGAAGGGTGAGGAATCCCTTTCTTCAGAGAAGAGAAGCTGTACAAGAGAGTCCAGCAGGAAGGGAGGGGCGGGGAGCTGGAGGGAGATGCGTCCTGCAGGGCTACGGAGGGGCTTTGAGCGAGCCAGATCCTGCTCATTCCCTTATTCACATTCTGTGGCAGGAACCAGGGGAAGGGGCACAGGGTTCTCCAGCACCCTGCTGGGGGCTGAGCACTGGATCTGTCATCCTGGGGCTCAGAAACGCTGCCCCATAGTATGGGACTCCTGCAGCCCCAGCCCCTGTGAACAGGCCAGGAAGTCGGGGCGGGGGAGAAAAAAGGGAGGCAGGGTTCCCCATGGCTGCTTCCCATAAACTCCTCAGAGGCTGGCAGCCACAGTGGGGGGTGACCTTGAGAGCCCGAGGTCAGTTTCCCATGAGGTGGGGGTGGGGCGCTGGGGTGTCACTTCTCCCCTTTTCCCTGCCCTGCTGCTCTGTCTCTGCCCCCTCCCGTTCTCACCAGAGGTAAAATCACAATGGGCATCTGCCCAGGCAGCCTTCTAGGGGCCCAGCCCAAGCTGGCACCTTTCTCCCTGCATTCATTTAGTCCTTGCCCCAGTCCTATCCCTATCTCCACTTTATAGAGATGATGTCTCATGGAGAGTAAGTGACAGCCTGAATGAGGTGGCTGGGCCGCAGAGGGAGTGGCCATGGCATAAAGATAGCAGAAAATCCCTCGTTTCACAGGGTTGCGAGTGGTGGGGAAGGTCAGGTGGTGCTTGGCGGGCGGGGAGCAGCACCTACCCCAGAGCACTCTGCACAGTGGACCAAAGTGCTAGGCCTGGGAGACTGCTCACAGCTCTCCTCTGAACCAATATTCCTAGGTGCTTTGGTGGGTGGAGGGCCTAGGAGAAGCGGAACAGAGGGGTGGACTGCTGGGGCTGTTTGCATTGCATGAGGGAAGCTTGGCCAGGTGGGAGCAGCAGAGTGCTTCTGAAATGGCCAGGGCCAGCTTCACCTAAACGCGAAACAAACCAGGCATGGTGGTACATGCCTGTAATCCCAGCACTCTGGGAGGCTGAGGCAGGAGAATCTCAAGTTCAAATCCTGCCTGGGCAATTTAGCAAGATCCTGTCTCAAACAATGAAAGGGGCTGGGGATGTAGCTCAGTGGTAGGGCACCCCTTGGTTTGATCTCCAGTACCACACATCTGCAAGGCTTGAGCACTAACCAAGGCTTACATTAGCACACAGGGAAAATGACAGCAGAAGCCCACCTTGTCACCTGGACTGGCACTGTTCTCTGGGCAGGGCCTCGGGATGCCCATGTGGGACTCAGGAAGATGGTGGCTCATCCTGGGCAGAGCAGGGCTCCAGGGTAGGTGTCAGGTACCAGACACCACCTGTGCTTTCCCAACACACTTTGGAGAGCGAGCTCCTGGGTTGCTGCCTGACACCCCCCACCCCCTTGCCCTGCGCAGTGAGGGAAACCAGCGCAGAGCATTGGGCAACCAGCAGGACTCCTCCTCCAGTGCTCTCCTCTCACCATGACCCAGTACCCCACAAGTGCTCAGAGACGGTGGGGGAGTTGAACCATTACCCAGTGGTCTCCTCCTTCCCCCCAAATCCTTCTGTGGATGTCTGTTTGTGCCACCCCCAGGACTGGAATGAGAGCCTGGCTCAGCTGGCTCAAGCCAGGGCAGCCCTCTGTGGCATGCCAGCCCCAGACCTGGTCCCTGCCCCACGGCGCACCCCGCAAATGGGCTGGAACATACAGCTGCTGCCCATAGGCTCGGCGTCCTTTGCTGGAGTGGTCAACCTCTGGTTCGCAGAGGGGCAGTGGTACAGCCACGAGGCAGCTGAGTGTGCCCATAATGCCACCTGCATCCACTACACTCAGGTGAGTGAGTCGCAGGTAAGACCAAGGCTTCCGTGGGGCTGGGTGGGGCATCTCAGAAGATGCTACACTTTGTCCTAAATATTGGGGTTCCTTCTCCTCCAGTTTTAGCTTTACTTTTTGTAACTGTTTGTCTATGTAGTGGTACCAGGGGCTGAACCGAGGACCTTTATATTGGAATATATCTCCAGATGCCCTCTTGTTTTAAATTTTGAGACAGGGTCTAAGTCACTAAATTGTCCAGGCTGGGCTTGAACGTTCAAACCTCCTGCCTCAGCTTCCCAGAGTGCTGGGATTACAGGAGTGTGCCACCACATTTGGCTATTAGCACCTTTAAATGGGAATCGTTTTAAACATAAATGTCAAAATGGGTCCTCTCTTACTCCCTGGATTTAGAAGATGTTACTATATTAAGCCCTGTTCCTCCCCTTTTCCCTCTGTCCCTCCGCAGAGGGTATTTCATTCCTAAGTACATTTCCTTTTTTTTCCTCTCTCATTCACCAAGAATTTATTGAGTGCCCTCTACATACCTGACACTGTTTAGGCACTAACGTACAACACTGAAAAATACAAGCAAAGTCCCAAGTTTTTTGTTTTTTGTTTTTTTTTGTACTAGGGATTGAACTCGGGTCCTTGCGCTGGTGTAGCAGGCAGCAAAACCACTGAGCTAAATGCCCAGCACCCAAGTATGCTTTAATACCATTATTATGCATATAATACTAGTAAAACTGACCTTGAATTTGTTTTCTCATACAGCCCTTACATGGGTTATAGCAAGGCTATGTTGACCTCAGTAAGTGAGTTGGAATCTTTGCTTCATTTTTCTATTCACTGGAATAATCTCTATGATGTTGCTATCACCCTCCCAGAAAGTGACACTGTATTTTGTTTTTTGTGTATGTGTATGTGTGCTGGGATTAGAGGGATGCGCTCCACGCCCAGCTGTATCCTATAAATTTCCATATTTAGTGTTTTCATTGTTATTAGGGCTGTTTTCCATTTCCAATCATGTGTTTTTTTGGTGCGGTTTGGGTTTTTTTGTGGTTTTTTGTTTTCCGGAAGGATTGAACTCAGGGCCTTTGCACTGATCTACTACCTCAGACCTCCTTACCTTTTTATGTATGTATGTATTTATTTATTTATTTTTGGTACCGGTGATCGAACTCGGGTCCTTCTGCTTGCGAGGCAGGCGGCAGAACCACTGAGCTAAATCCCCGGCCCCCCTTACCTTTTTAAAATTTTGAGACAGAGTCTCACTAAATTGCGCAGGCTGGGCTCAAAACTGTGATTCCCCCAGGCCCGGGGATTTAGCTCAGTGGTTCCACAGCCTACTTCACAAGCATAAAGTCCCGAGTTCGAGCCCCAGTACCAAAAAAAAAATTGTGATCTTCCTGCCTCAGCCTCATGATGTTTTTTGAATTTGAAGTATATATTTTAATTTCCAAAATATATTTTCTTTACTTACTTCTAAATTATCCATGTTAAATTTTATTCCATTGAATTAATACAATGTGGCCTGTAGGATAATGATTCTTTGATCTTAGTTGAAACTTGCTTTGTCATTTAGTGAGAGCTCAATGCTTGCAAAGTTCCATAGATTCCTAAAAAGAGCATATTCTCTAATTGTTGGACACATGCATATGACTACATGTTCACATCTTCCTGCCAAAATCCAGTCTGGTATTTGTCATTTTTAGTGGCTACTAGAGAGTTTGCTTAGTTGTTCCTGTGTATTGATCATTCGTGCTTTTTCCAAGTTGTCACTGATTCTAAGACTTTAAATCTAAGTTTAAAGACCTACACCTTTTTAGTTTTGCTGGATGGCACACCAGACCAAAATTTAGCAGCCTATGATTTTTTTTTTTTTTTTTAAGCAGCCCATGACTCTGCAGCTTGATCTTTTGAGTTGGGCTCAGCTGGGAGGTTCTCTGGTCTTTACCGGACCCAGACACTTGGAGTTGGCTGTCTAGCATGGCCTCAAATGGCTCATCTCTGCCCTATGAATCCTTTCAACCTCTAATGTGCTATCCTAAGCTTGTTCATGGAGTAGTCAAGCATGGTTCTATGAGCATGATTGGAAATTGCAAAGTCTCTTGAGGCCCAGGCTCAAAACTGGCTCAGTGCCTGGGATTTAGCTCAGTGGCACTGGGTCTGCCTCTCAAGCACAAGGTCCTGAATTCAATCCCTGTTCCGAAAAAAAACACTGGTACAAAAAAAATTGGCTCAGTATTATTTCTGCTGCATTTTAAGCCAACATAAGTCACAGGGCCAACCAAACTCAGAGAGGGGGGGACCAGGGATTTAATTTAGTGGTTCTGCCACCTGCCTCACAAGTGCAAGGACCTGAGTTTGATCCCCAGTGCTTAAAAAAAAAACAAAATCAGATAGGGGAAAAAAGACCTCATTAGTTCCTGTAAGTGGCTGCAAAACCCTCTTTACAAGAGTGGACTGGGGCAAGAAGTAAAAGGCTGTGGCCATTTTTGCAATCTATCACAGGCCCTTGATTTTCAAGTCTTTCTTTTATCGTTCTCCTCCATCTACCCATAATCTCCCCTTTCCTCAAGGATCTGCTAATCCCCACCTTCCACTCCCCTCTCTGCTCAGAAAGACTTGACTGGATTCCTCTGCTCACCATCTTTACAGACTGCTCCAGCACGGCTGCTGCTTCTAAGGCCCCCAGGGAGTGGGGGAGCTGGCTGTCTACCTGGATCATGGCCAAAGCTGTGTGCCCCCCACCCTGAGGCACACATTGCCTGTGCCCCTAGGTGGAAATGGGAGTAGTCTATGACAGGGTTTCTGAGACACTGTGTCTCCTGCAGCTTGTGTGGGCCACTTCGAGCCAGCTGGGCTGTGGGCGGCATCTGTGCTCCGTGGGCCAGGCAGCGATGGAAGCCTTTGCCTGTGCCTACTCCCCAGGGTAAGCCCCCGAGATGTGGGCTCCAGGAGGGGAGGGCAGGATACTGTCACCCAGGTGAGACGCCCACCCACTCTTTGGTCTGCACACTTGCTGGGAGAGGGAAAACGAGGAAAGAGAGAGGGTGCAGAAGATTCTGGCCACACAGAACAGAGCTTGTCCCTGGACGCCCCTTCCTGGAAGCATAACTATGCTTCAAGGACTTTCGCAGGGTTTGTTTGGAGACCATCTTTCTCTCCTAGCAAATCTTCCCTTCTCACCCAGCTCCCTGACTCCCTGCTGGCATTTGTTCTCACAGAGGCAACTGGGAGGTAAACAGGAAGACAATTGTCCCTTATAAGAAGGGTGCCTGGTGTTCACTCTGCACAGCCAGTGTCTCGGGCTGCTTCAAGGCCTGGGACCACGCAGGGGGGCTCTGTGGTGAGTGCCACACTCTGCCTGCAGCAGGCACATCAGGGCTTGGCCTGGTGACCCCGGGGTGGGTGGCAGCAGCCTGAGAGGCTCTCCTGGAAGCCTTGGCCCTCAGCCCTCAGAGAGGCTCCTGCCTGGCCTGTTGGGAGGAGGCTTCTTCTCAGAGTTCCCTCCTCCTCTGACCAGAGGTCCCCAGGAACCCATGTCGCATCAGCTGCCGGAACCATGGACATCTCAACATTAGCACCTGCCACTGCCACTGTCCACCTGGCTACACAGGCAGATACTGCCAAGGTGAGGGTGTGAAGGTGAGCCTAGCTGTGTACATACACTTGCTGGGTTTGTACATTCCCTGCTTTCATTCAACAACCATTCATTGAGCACCAGCTGTCTACCATACCCTGAGCTCTTCAAGAGACTCAAAATGGAATCAGATTTGGCCTCTTCGGCTATGGAACAATGGGAGGAGAATAGAATCAGGAAACAGGAGTGGATTCTTGTTCCACTTTCCTGCTCCCAACTTTATGGCCATAGGTTAGTTACTTCCCAAACCCCAAGTTGCTTCTTTCCACAATGAGATTCAGACCAAGCAAGCCAAGTGTGGCAGCAGTTGGAAGTCCTGCTCTTGCTGGGGTTGGCACCCCAGAGTGTTCAAGGCTGAGCCCTTTTACCCCCTCTCCATCATGGCAGTCCGGTGCAGCGTGGAGTGTGTACATGGCCACTTCCGGGAAGAGGAGTGCTCTTGTGTCTGCAATGTCGGCTACGGGGGAGCCCAGTGTGCCAGTGAGTCCGCCCAAGGCTCCTGCTAGGAACCCCTTCCTTGGGGTACTGGATCCCACTCTACCAGCCCACAGGAGCCCACTGTGTGGATCTCTCCCCCATTTCCATTCAGAGACATCACATTGGTAGCTTAAAACTGGCTTAGTTACTTTTCTCTCATTGCTGAGCCAAAACACTTGACACCCAAAGTTAAAAGGGGAAGGGTTTATTTAGCTCACAGTTCATAGAGGTTTCAGCAGCTCCAAGGCAGGGTGGCAGAGGGGCAATGCAGAGGAGAAACAGTTCATGGCGGGCAGAAGGTAGCAAAAGGAACAAGAGACTTTAACATGTCTTTCCGCCCCTTTTATCTTATCCAGACTACTTAGGGCAGGTAGCACTCACCCTTAATCCACCATGAATCAATCTCAGCATCACACACTCTAGATCCAGCCACCTCTGAAAAACCTCTACCTATGACTACATGAGGCTTTGGGGGGACATCTAAACACTGGCCATGGTGGGGGCATTTACTCCACTGAAATTGCAGGTGCTACCAGCTGTGGATCTTGTTTTCCAGTGAGAAAGCTCACTGCTACACATTTACCAGCACACCACTCACTCCCACCCTTCTCCAGCTGGGAGCAGGTGGCCAGAGGAAAGTGCACTTTGAGCTTAGCTCCCTGGCAGGGTGGGAGAAGGGGACGATTCTGAGGGTGGCACACACATGCTCAGGCTCCCTGCCACCACCCCCAGCCAAGGTGCGCTTTCCTTTCCACACCTGTGACCTGAGGATCGATGGGGACTGTTTCACCGTGTCTTCGGAGGCAGACACCTATTACGGAGCCAAGATGAAATGCCAGGTGACGGCTGAGCCCTGCCTTCCCAGGTACCCCAGGATCTCACACTAGGGTGGTCATGGAGTGACCCTTCAACATCTCCCAAATTCTCTCTTTTTGTTAGTATAAAGCAGAGGTCACAGACTCAGAGGCTCAAGGTCAGGAAGTCACTTAAGGACATGAGGGATCCAGGGTCAAATCTAAGGAGCTGTCCCGACTCAGCTCCAGCTGCTGATTGCCCTGCAGGAATGTCAGGTCAGGGTGGCCAGAACTCAGGGTTCTCAAAACCAGAAACCCAGGCTTTCATTGCACCTGTGGATGTATCCATGTTGGCAATCAATTCAATTAGTGTATATTTTAGACACTGTGTAGTTGAGACAAAACCCTCAAGAGCCGAGGCCCTGCCTGAGCCTGTGGGCTGTCAGTTGGGCCCCTGTTCACAGAGAGGGGAGAAGCAGGGGAGGGAATGGGAACCCCTGTCCCTGAGGCTGGAGGTTATCAGAGTTAGGTGTAAAGACAGCCAGGCCAGCACATACATACACACATGTGGGGTCCACTGCCATGGTGGGGTGGGGTGGCCTGATGGGCAGGAAGGGCTGGCTAAGCTCTGAGGGCCCTGCCAGCATGACCTGGGTTGGGGTTACAGGGAAAGGGCGGGGTGCTAGCCCAGATTGAGAGCCAGAAAGTGCAGGACATCCTCGCCTTCTATCTGGGCCGCCTGGAGACTACCAACGAGGTGACTGACAGCGACTTTGAGACCAGGAACTTCTGGATTGGTGAGTGTCTTGGCTGGTTGGGGCACAGTGAATGTGGGGCTTGATGCCCCAGACAGCTCCCAGAGACCTGGGCTGTAGCAAACAGCACATCCACTAGTAGCTCACAGCAGTATGGAGAGAGCTTGGAGCCTGGAGGGGAGCCACGAGTCAGGCTGCCATTCCCTTGCCAGGAGAGGGCTATAGGTAGGGGGCGGGGGCTGGAAGACTGGGTCGAGGGGCTTAAGGACTGGAACAAAAGGGATTAGGCAGTAGGCTCCTCGGCTCAGAGTCTGAGTGGAGCCCAGGGCTCTCAGGTGGTGAGCAACCTTGGCTACTGGCCCAGGGCTCACCTACAAGATGGCAAAGGACTCCTTCCGCTGGACCACTGGGGAGCACCAGTCCTTCACCAGTTTTGCCTTCGGTCAGCCTGACAATCAGGGGTGAGTCTGGGGTGGCCACCTTCCCTGGGCCTCTCTCTCCCCTGGGCTGGCTTGGCTGAGCCTTTGGATTCCACTGAAAAACCCTCTAAAGGCCTGGGCCTTACCTGCCAGTGCTAGGGAAGTTGGGGTGCACCTGGTGCAGGCCCTGGGCTAAGTGAGGGAGAAGATATATCATGAGAGGGAACCTCCCAAGGCCTCATCCATCTACCTGTCCCTCATCCCCTCTGCTGTCCCTCCGTCATCCACTGGCCCCTCCCTCCGCCAACCCACCTGGCCTCTGCCTGGCACCACACTGATTCCAGCACTCTGTAGCTGCCCACTACCCGCATCCTTCATGTACACATCCACCCATCAGCTCTCCTGTACTAAGGAACTTCCAGTTATGTGGCCTTGTCCTGATTTTTAAAGCGAAGGAATGCTCAGGGCAGGGGTGGCAAGCGAGAGGAGCAGAGGCTGCATGGTCGCCAAGGGCTCCAAATATCTCCCCAGCCCTCCCCACTGGCAGCCAGGCCTGATCCAGCTCCTGCCACCTCTTCTCCTGCTGGGATGGAAGGAAGGAGGTCCCTCTCTGTCCCAGGCCCTGCCCACTGGCTGGTGTGGCTGAGTACCGCCATGGTGGGAGATGTTGTGACACCTCCTGGTTTCCCTGAGAAGAGCTGCAGTGCCCTAGAAGCAAGATGGAAGCATGGGGGTGGTAGATGGGGATGGCCTAACGGGGTGGACAGTTTAAGACTCACCTGCACTCCTAATTTCATTCCTCCATCCTGTGCACCCATATCCTGGCCGCCCAGGTTTGGCAACTGTGTGGAACTGCAGGCATCATCTGCCTTCAACTGGAATGACCAACGCTGTAAAACCCGAAACCGTTACATCTGCCAGTTTGGTGAGGGCCCTCCCACGGCTCCCCTCCTCTGGTTCCTATCCCCTGGGGTACTATCAGCCTGCTCCAGGCCACTGGGATATCCAAGTCACAGGCACCAAGTGTGTCTGAATACACAGGGCCACAGACGATGTCCCGCTCAGGACCTTGTACCTGTAGGTGTCTGAGGCCCAGTGGGCGGACAGTGGGCTCAGCATCACATATGTAGTAAGTGCACAGAGAAGCAGGACTGCAACCACATCTTGCTGGGGATTTCTTCAAGATCCCTCTCTTCTATCATGAAAGCCGCCACCTGGAGACCTGTCTGGTCCCCTGATGTTCTGTGATTCTCTAGAGCCCAGTGAGCTATGGGGGAGCCCACAGGGTACACCTGGCCTGGCACCAGTTACCAGCAGCACCTGCTAGCAGGGCCTGGGCTCCACATGGGAGCACAGCAGAGTTCCCATCCCAGGACTGCCTGGGCTGCCACCAAGCCCCACCCTGTTCTGCTTCCTTTCCAGCTCAAGAGCACATTTCCCGGTGGGACCCAAGGCCCTGAGCCTAGCTAGGCAGCTCTCCCACGAGCCCCTGGGTGCACCAGCCCTGCTTGCCTGTCTGCTCCCCTGGGCGAAACCGGGTGGGCTGGGATTGCATGCCTAATACCAGAGATCTCAGACCATACAGGAAGTTGGGCAGAGTGGCAGTGAAGCTAGTGCAGGAAGGAGAGGAGCCTCACTGGGGAAGCGGAGAACCTGGAACCCTCAGCTTGCTTTTTTGACTGGGAAGATGGGCTTCTGTGTGCTAAAGCAGAAGTCAGAGCCTGCGGTTGGAAGAGGGCCACAGTGGGACCGCTGGTTTCCCTCACCAAATACACCCACAGAGATTAAACTAAGTTGTAAACCAGCCAGACTTCCAATTGCTCTTTTTTCCCCCCTGATCCTGGGATCGAACCAAGGGCCTTTGCAGAGGTCCAACCCCAGCCCTTTTTTAACTTTTTAAGACAGAGTCTCACTAACTTCCCCAAACTGGAGTTGAACTCTCAATCCTCCTGCCTCAGCCTCCTCAATGCTGGAATTACAAGTGTGTACTACCACACCATCTGCAACTGGTCTTTGGAAAGAGAATTCAGATGACCAGAATGGTCTTGTGTCTGCTACTCGTTTTGTCCCTCCTCTTTCCTGCTCAATCGATGCCCCCCAGTAACCTAGAAGACCAGACTGTCTCCACTGGAGCATTTTTGCCTATCAGGGCCAACAGTACAATCAGAATTTGTCGAGTCCCAATGCTTCAACCAGCGCCTCAGACATCATAGCTGACATTTGATAAACACTGTCAGGCAGTGTAATCAACACTTGATATCTATTAATTCATTTAACCACATAACAGTTTACCCCGAGCATCAATTGGGCAGCGTGTTTCTTGAAGTACTATCTCAAGCGTTGCTCAGGCAGGTGTCACTTCAACCAGTCGATTATTGTATTGAATACATTTGACAACACTGTCGTTTTTATAGTTTCTCTTTTTTTGGTTCCGGGGATCGAACTCGGGACCTTGCGCTTGTGAGGTAGGCGGCAGAACCACTGAGCTAAATCCCCGGCAACATTGTCGTTTTTATATTTCGCTGTATCTTATAAAAATTAATGAAAAATATGCGATTTTTCGTCTTGTATTTAAATAATTGGACTGGTAAGTGGTTAAACACTCATACTCTCATTGAGAAAGGAGTATTACTACCCCTGTTTTACGGTTGACGAAATGGAGGCACAGAGAGGTTGAGTAACTTGCCCAAGGTAACACAGCAAGCAAAGCTAGGCAGTCTGGCTCTCATTTAACCTTTCCATTTTCTTTCTCTGGTTCGGTAGTTTAACTGGGGGCACGTGGCAAGCTACGTGGTGCCCAGGTTCAGAGCGGGTGCACAGGCCCCGTTCACACTGACGTTTCCAATATCAGCAACCACTCCCAGCGGAAGAAGACAGAAAGTCGCGATAGGGCCAAGGGCCGGACCCCGGAGCCCCGCCCATATATCTGTCCCAAGGTCGCCTACTAAGGCGTCCCTACGCTCCCGCCGCAATCCTGCCCAGTAAGCAACAGCAGCCGCAACACCTGGCGAAGAACCTGAGCCTCAACTTCTGAGACGCAGACTCGGAACCACACGCGCATGCGTGCGCCCTCTGGGAGCCAGAACTACGCAAGCGCAACGGAGGGGTCCACGAAGCCTCTTCCTCGGCCCCGGCCCCGGCCCCGGCCCCGCCCCACCATGCAATCCCCGCCCCATTAACAGGAGGCCCCGCCCCCGCGAGCCTGCCCTGCTTCGGGGCCCCGGCTTCTCTCATTGCGCAGCGCGTTTGTCACCTGGTGAACTCCTTCCGCGGGCCGCCCGGGGAAGGCGGCACATCGCTGGGTGGGCTCCCCGAGGGTGGCGGTGATGCTGCTTGGCCGCCCGCGGAGGCCCGGTGAGACGGGCCGCGGACCCCGGACCCTCCCTCAGGTGCCATCGGGAGTCGGTGGGGCGGGGTCGCTCCCTCCCCGGTCCGCACAGGTGTGGATGCCGGGTTCGAGAGAACCACCTGGGCCTGCACCAAGGGGTCGCCTCGGCGGTTCCCACGGCCCGAGACCTGGCACACGAAAGCAGAATCGGGAAGGGCAGTGCTCAGCTTTAGGCGCTCCCTCCCTCTGGCACTTCGGAGGAGAATATATAATACAGTCTAGGCCATCAGCACGTGTTAACTAAGTTATTATTTATGGTAAAGAAAGATCCTGCACCTCATGGTGGATCCCCGTAATAAGTTCTGGAAATTTTACAAGCTCTGACCCATGGTGTCTGTCTCTGTGGAGTTTTATCTGGGGAATTTATTTTTCTTTATCTGGTAAACTCTTCTTGGCTAGGGTATTTTCCCCAAGATCTATAAACGTTCGTGCTGCTTCCTTCATGTATTAGAGAAGTGGTGAGAGAAAATGTGTATGGATCTAGGATTCCTAAAAGTCTCTAACGAGGGTGTAGCTCAGTGGTACAGCGCATGCTTAGCATGCACGAGGCCCCGGGTTCAATCCCTGGCACTTCCAGCGCTGGAGAGGCTTTCTTATGCCCATAGCTTTCCGTGTTTATCTTCCAGGGAACCTGTACAAGGGAGCCAGCTGAGCGAAGCCAAACCAAGCGTAGGTACGGCCTCTGTCCTTGGGGAGGAGAGAGGAATGTGCTACAAGTCATTTGGGCTTCCCTGGAGGAAGGAACTCTGTGAAGTTTTTCCAGAGCTGGGCAGAGGACCCCTTTGGATGCCTTCCAGCTCAAGCCAGTGTTCTAAATGTGGTTCTAGAAGACAAAGCTTTTCTTTCTTCTGCTTTTTCTTTCTTTTTTTTTTAAAGACAGTTTTGCTCTGTAGTTCAGGCTGGCCTTGAACTCTCTCTGTAGCTTGCCAGGGATTTAGCTCAATGACGCCCCGCCTGCCTCGCAAGTGCAAGGTCTTGAGTTTGAACCCCGGTATGGGAAGAAAAAGAAAAAAAAGGAGTATATGTAGCTGATGCTGGCCTCCAACTTCCTGCAGTCCTCCTGCCTCACCTTCCGAATGCTGTTGAGATTACAGGGATGGGGCTGGCATTTCCAGCACTTTCTTGGACATAAACCTGGCGACTTGTTACACTTTTTGTATATTTTGGTTGCAAACATATATCTATAAAAACTTGAGCTTGTGCCTCCAATGTTTTTATGTATAACTTATGAACTGTCTCCATGTAGTACACCAAAATATTATGCATATTATGAAGATGAAAACTTTTTTTGACAAAAACTTTAAAGGGTAAATATAAACATGTTTTCATCACGCCCCCGAGGGCAATGGCTTGTGGTGTACTTGGGAAGTGCTCCCTGCAGGCCGGGCATAGAGAAAATCCTAGCTTCACAGCCTAGGGTACCTAAAGAGGAAGGCATCCTTTGGGCATTGCCTTCCTATGGCCATAATTAACCCACTCTGCCATCAAATGTATTTTTATTTTGAAACAGGATCTTAATAAGTGGCTATGTTACCCAGGCTGAGATCAAACTTGTAATCCTTCTGCCTCAGCCTCCCAGAATGCCCGGATTACAGGCATGTGCTGCCATGCCCGGTGCCCCCCCCCCCCGCAACTTCAGTATACTCTTTGTGCTTTTCTATGGCAGGATCCATTAAGTCCCTCAAAGCCTTGCCTTTGATGGTGCTTTGTTCTAGGGGACTACAGGATTAACTGTCTCGCCGTGGCAGGTCCTGGGCTGCTACACTCCGATCCCTTAGTACTAGCTAGATTTTCAATGTCCTCTGGCCACTTACTTACAAGCCTTAGGTTGCCCCTGTTTCCTTCAGGGCTTCTTGTTCAGGGCTCCTGGCCCTATTTTTGTATTAATCTAAATTCTTAGCTTTAAGCCACAGAAACTAACTCTGGCGACTCCAAGTAGAAGTAAGTTTGTGGAAGATACTTGTTAGCTCTCAGAAGCTCTGAAAGGGTTGGAGAATCAGATCTGGAAGAGATCACACAACAGAGCTGTGAAACACAGAAGAGGCACCACTGAAGTGGGACAGAGATGCCACCATCTTTGAAAGCTCGATGTAGCTGCTGCCACTGCCACCAAAGACAGTTGCTGCCTCTTCCCATCATCAGCATGGCCCTGTGGGTCTGATCAGAAGAGCCAGTCACTCACTGTTAACTGCTGCTTGCAGCCTTTAATATTAGAGATGATCTACCCTTTCCTTTTTTTCCAGGGAGCACTGGGGAAATAAGTTAACTACTTTGCATTGGTCTGATAAATTCAGAGAAATGTTCCTGGGAGTCCACTTGATGAACTCTGGGGACCAGTTTTTGGATGTGTCCACCTCTTTCCACTTCTTTCCTGATTCTTGTTCTTACGTCAGCTTGGTCTCTCTGTTTCATTCTGCTTTCCCGACACCTGAATGCTTACCTCCTGTCGTTTGCTGTCATACATTGTGACTCCCATTCTCTCACAGTCCTACTCACGTTCTCCGGAAGTCCAGCATCACAGCCCATGGGAAGGAGGGTGTGTCTCTAGGAAGTCCGTCTGGGGCATTGTGAGCTATGAATGTGGAGCAAAGCCCCAGCCCACTTCCAACCCATAGCCTCTGGGATGGTTAATCTACTTCTGCAGCAGACATCCATCGAGCTGCTACTCCCTGCCCTGCCTTGAGCCAGTGGAGGGGATAGAACAGTGGCAGATTCTGCACCCTATCCCCTGTTTGGAGCAGAATGCTGTTGTGCTCTAAGAAGTAGGTGAAAAAAGGACATGAAACAAGAATTATTTGGTGAGCCAGGGCTGGTGGTTCATGCCTGGAATCTCAGCACTCTGGGAGGCTGAGGCAGGAGGTTCACAAGTTTGAGGCCCATCTGGGAAACTAAGCAAGACCCTCTCTCAAAATGAAAACGTATTTATTTATTTATTTATTTATTTATTGGATTTTTGAGACAGGATCTCACCAATGTATTCCAGGCTGGCCTTGAAGTCACTATGTAGCCTAGACTGGCCTTGAACTTGCTTCAATCTTCCTGCCTCAACCACCTTAGTGCTGGGATTACAGGTGTGTGTCACTGCCCAATTTAAAACAAAATAAAATACCTTTTGAGAGAGGTTGGGGAAGTAGCTCAATGCACAGGACCTAGCACCTCCTGAAAAAGAATTCTTGGGCCCCTACATACACTACTCATATATGTTTTGGGTTCCTGAAACCTGAAAGTGCAGTGCTTCTTGCATTTCTTCTGTTCCTAGCAGAGTTGCAAATGTCTCAGTTTCCAGATCACAGTTTGTGCGCACATACAAAGCCTGCCCTGCATTTGGGGATATAGGAATGGGGTCCTACCTGTTCTTGCATCATTAAATACCAGGGGGTCCTGGAACAGAGGACCACCAGTTTGGGCCTGGGTGCCCAAGGGGCCTGACTCTCAGGGCCCTCAGGGTCAGCCCCTGGTTCCACTAGCAACCAGGCGGTTCCTCTCCCCACCCCAGGTCTGATCTCAAACATTGCCGCAGAGACCCCAACCCCAAGCAGTGTAACCACCAGCTGGCTACTTTCCCCAGGTCACAAGCGAATCTGGGGCTGGTCTGAAGCTAAGCACCTCCCTCATCTCTGCCCAGATGTTAAGGGGGAACCCAGGGTTCCCTCCTCCCAAGTTTGCTGAAGTCCTTCACTTCTCTCAGTTCATTCCATGCAGCCAGCCCCATGTTCCGGGGACCCTCCACCCACCCTAAGTGGAGACGTGGCCCTTCTGCCAGCAGCACCTAACTCCAGTGTAACCAAAACTACTCTGCTTCCTTGAACTCAGGATATCATTGTAAACTGGCCTGCTGAAATTAGGACCTCTTTGTATCTTCTCCTCCTTTTCCTCCTCTTCCTCTTCCTCCTCTTTTTCCTCCTCTTCTATCTCTTCCTCCTCCTCCTCCTTCCCAGTACAGGAGATTGAACCCAGGGCCTTTGCACTGATCTACATCCCCAGCTCTTTAGAATTTTTAATTATATTTTGAGTCAAGATCTTACTAAGTTGCCTAGACTGGGCTCAAATTTGCAATTCTCAAAAAAAAAAATTTTTTTGCAATTCTCTTGCCTCAGCCTCCCAGAGTGCTGGGATTATAGGCATGCACCACCATGCCTGGCTGTATTTTCTTTTAAAACAACATCTCCTGCTAACACTTAGCAGTATGCCTAATTGGTAACCATAAATTCTACCATAAACCTTCTAATTTGAATTTTAAGTTTTAATTTGAATTTCAGATGTGTCAAACTCACTTTAATAGGATTTAAAAAACATTACTGTCCTCTCTTCTAATTGCTCAAGAATTGGGGCATGAGGGGAGACCTTTGAATACTTGAGCCTAGAGAGGGAGCCAATGAGGCTGTCCTATCTTGTACCAGGTCCCTCCCCTTTCTGTATGTTCATGATCAATAACACAGGTTTGGAATCAGGGAAACTGTTCATCTGAGGGCCACAGTGTTGTGAACTTGAGGCTCTTTTGTAGAAAGTGCTCGCTTTGCTCGTCCTCCGAGCCACCCTGGCTCTTTCAGCAGTGGCAGCAGCCAGCACAGGATTAGCACAGGGCCAGGTGTGAGCTGTGGGCCTGGCAACAGGGAGGCCAGCGAGGGCGGCCGGGCACACACTCTCAGTCCATCCCAGGCGGGCAGCAGGAGGACACTTGAGAATTAACCTGGACCAGGCCTGGTGTCTGCTCATCGAACAAGAGGGTCCACCCAGGTAGTCCCTCTCCTCCCCACTGATGGTATCACCCAAAATCCAGGGCTGGGCAAGGCAGTGATTCTGACTGTGGGTTTGGGGCTGAAGGAATAGCCATGAGGTATGTTTGTTTTGAGACGTGCCAAAGGCTCATTTGTCTCCTTATGTAGATGACCCTGGGAGCCCTAGCCCAGCCCTAGGTAGGGGGAGAGTTCCATCAGAGGCCAGGCAAGGGTGTCCATTTGAGGGACAGGAGCTCTGTCTCCCACCAGAGCTCAGGAGCAGGGCAGGGCCCCGTGTGCACTTGTCACTTCCCCTGCACCCCTTTCTTTGTCCCCTGCACCATCTCTTTCTCTCTTTAGATTTGGACATGGCTGGGGAGCCCAGGCCGGGCCCTGGCCAGCCAGGACAGAAGAGGCAGCAGGACACAGCCGGCTTCCGGTGAGTTTGTCCAGGCCCCCACTGGGAGGGAGGCTGGCTGCTGGCTTGTGTGGGTTTCCTGAGACAGGACAAAGACCCCACAGGCTCCCTAAGTACACTGGCTACACATGGCTCAGGTTGTCAGTCCTGTGAGGAGGTTCCTAGTCCCTTGGGCAAAGGTTTTGTCTGTAAACTGGGGGAGTGGACCCAGCATATTCTGGTGCCCCCCCAGCTGACATAACCAAAGCCATCCTGCTGATCGGGGAGGGGTGTGCCTCTGACTGCCTGGGGCCAGCGCTTTCTCCCTCCCTCTCTCTCTCTCTCTCCCTCCCTCTCTCTCTCTCTCTCTCTCTCTCTCTCTCTGGGAGCCTCACCTATGGATGTTGGGGGCTTTCCCCAGGTATAGATATTTGGGAGGCAGTAAATGAGAACCTTTCTCGATGACATCTTGCTCAGAAAATGTAAAGGAAAACTTTTTTTTTGGATGCCAGGGAGGGATGAAATCCAGAACCACCTCCCATTTATCTGTGAGTGCAGGTGTTCTACCACTGAGCTATATCTCCAATGATTTTTTTATTTTTTATTTTGAGACAGGGTCTCACTAAATTGCTCAGGCAGGACTTGAATTTAGATCCTCCTGCCTCAGCCTCCCAAGTGCTGGGATTACAGGGGTAATCCCACCATGGCCTGAAAAAAGGGCCATTTCTGAGATTAGATGAAGTTCCACAGTTCTTCACTTTTAGTTGCCTTCATCAGATTTCATATTTTCATCTCACCCCTTCTCCCAGCAGGTTTCAGTTCAATCCTGTCTACTCTCCCTGGGGTGGGGTTGTCCATGGTGGGGTGCAGTTAGCAATAGGGAGGGAGCAGGCCTGTAGGGCAGGGACTCCGACTTCTTTCAGAGGGGGCCCTGGCATTCAAGCTCTGGGGCAGAGGTGGCCTCCCTCAGGCCTCACTGTGCCCCTAGGACTCCAGTGAGGACAACTAAGTGCTTCCTCAGATGCTGGGTGGCATGGCGGGAGGCTGTGGTGGTGTGGCTGGGCCTCTTGGGATGGTCCCCAGGGAGGGAAATGTGGGGATGGGGCTCTGTCCAGCACTAGGCTCCTGGATGGCTTCTCTGTGAGAAGTAGTCAAATCTAGGCCATGGGATTTGGGCCCCAAATGGAATTGTATGAGTATGGAGGGCGTGTTGTGGTGGAGAATTTAGCCCACACCAGCCTCCTCCTCCTGCCCCACAGCCTGGCTTTAGGACACTTGAGGAGGTGTCTGGACTCTGGCCCCCAGAGCCATTCCAACGGGGGCCTTTTGTTTCTCTTTTGGTGCAAGTCCTGGGCTTGCAGACTGTGACCATTAGCCCTGACCAGGAGGCAGCTGCTGCTTGCCCTGGTGCAAGCAGGCCGCCCCCTTGGGACCTGTTAGGGACACAGGCCTCACTGCTGGCAAAGCAGAGCAGGGTAGGGAGGCCCCCAAACAGGGTGAGGGGCACCTCTGCCTGCAACAGCATGGACGAAAACGTCCTGGCTCCATTCCATCCATCCTGTCTCACTGTGGGCAACAGTTGGCAAAATCGTGTTCCTTTAAAGTGCTCATTCCTGCTTACTCTTAAAAGTACACTTAAAACAAATCAATTGGGGAAGCAAAGAAGAAAAAACACTTCGTGCATTGGCCGGGAATCGAACCCGGGCCTCCCGCGTGGCAGGCGAGAATTCTACCACTGAACCACCAATGCCTGGATAAGAGGCTCTCTCACCCGGTGGCTCAGGTGGTCGGCGGGAGGCACTGTTCGGGTCTGGTTTCTGCCCAGCCACGCCTGGAGTAGTCTCTTGGAGCTCTGTCTGGCCTCAGCCCTCCCCGAAACCCGGACCCCACCTTGCCAGGCTCTTTTCTCCTCCTCCTGAGACCGGAATCACCAGCAGCCCTGTGCTTCCCTCCACCCACCCAGATCTCCTGGGGCCAGAAATCAGGGGTGGCCAGAAACCTCAGCTGAATTCTGGGGACCCTGTGGGATGAATGGGAGGGGTCAGCGTTCCGGGTGGCCTCCGTCAGGCCCCCCTCTTGGGCTGGCCCTGAGCTGGCCACAGGGGTCACAGCCCCAGAAAGTCGTTCCAGAAGTTTACCTTCCCGCAGGGATCCCTTCCCCTTCCCCCAACTCACTGCCTCCTCCCCAGCCCCAGCGCCTGGGACCCGCCCATTCCTGCCAAGCCAAGGGACCCAGTGGTCTCTCCGAAAGCACTGATCTCGAGCCCCTCCTGGACCAGTGCCCTGGAGGCTCGGAGCTGTGAAAAGGGGTGAGGCTGGCACATGTGAGCCTGGGACCTTTTGAGGGCCAGGTCACCATTTTCCAGGGCCTGCAGCAGAGGGGCAGGTGGCCCAGCCACAGTCCTAACCCTGTCTGCTGGCCCTGCACCCTGGCAGTTCCCACACCCAGATTAGTGGCTCTCACACTCACCTTGGCTCTGGGCTCTAACTTAACTCTCCCCTTTCATCCTTTGCCAGACTTGGATCCAGAACATTTGCAGTCCTGGCTTAGGCAGAGGAGCTTTTGGAGGCAACTGTCCCCCTCTCCTGCTCCCTGGAACCACAGGGAGGAACCACAGGGAGGGGTCCCTTATCAGAATCCAACCAGGGAGAAGGTGCTTGGCTGTGGTCTCAAGAGCAACTCTGGGTGGGCCGGGGATTTAGCTCAGTGGTTCCGCTGCCTGCCTCGCAAGCACAAGGTCCCGAGTTTGATCCCCGGTACCAAAACCTCCCCCAAAAAACTAAAGAGTAACTCTGGGCAAGTCGCTGGGGTCTTCCGGTGGAGAATCTTGGCGCCCTAAGGAAAAGCTGCATACTCAGTTTCCCCAAATTCAGTTGGGGACCAAGAAGACTCTGGCCCTGGACAATGACACACACCCCTTTCCTATTTACTGTATCTCCACAGAGGCAGCAGCAACTACCACTTGAACTATGAGCTGCACGGAGGAGATGCCCCCTGTAGGTGGGTGCACCTGCCCCGTGTCCCTGGGGCAGCCCGTGGGGCTGGTGGCCTGACTCCTCCTCTGTCCTGTCCCTGTAGGGGGTATGGACACCAGAGGATCTCCCCACTCATCAACCAGGTGCCTGGCAAGCTCCAAAGGACTTTCATGGGCCTGGGGGTCAGAAGGAGCTGCAGCCCCTACAAGGCCTCTAGGAGCAGATACCTGCACCCCGAGCAGGCCAAGCGTGAGTTCGGCCACAGCTGCAGTGCTGGGGAGAGGCTGGGTGGCTCAAGCGCAGTGACAGCAGGCCTAGGAGCCCTGGGAGCCATGCTCTTGGCCCTTGTGGCCTCTGCGGGCACCAACCCTGGCCCCTCCCCAGCTGTGAGGACCGAGGAGCTGCGCTCCATCCGGGGGAAGCTGAGCGAGATCAAAGCCCAGGTGGACAGGCTGTTGGAGAGTCTGGAGCACATGGACCAGCGCAGAGCCCAGGCTGCAGGTCAGGCACCAAAGGTGGGCCCAGGCCATGTTCTCAGTGGGCCCCAGATTTTCCTACCTCTGAAGATGTGCGGTTGCCCAAGGGACTGCTGGAGCTTTGTCTGCAGGCCTCCCCTCCTCAGCGTACCTTGGGCTCCTTCTGCCTGTTCCTGTGGCTGGGGGCTCTCATGGTTCTGGGTTGTCCTGTCACACTCAGTAGCTGTCAGGAGTCACACCTGAGTCCCAGCCCATCTGCCTCTTGTCCTCTCAACGTCTAGATCACTTCTGGGTCCCTGAGGGGGTCCTCTGGGCCCTCCAAACTTGGCCATTGACGTGATTTTCTTTGTTTTGTTTTTTACGAGATAGGCTCTCACTGTGTACCCCATGCTGGCCTTGAACTCTCAGTGATACTCCTGCTTCAGCCTCCTGAGTGCTGGGGTTACAGGTGTGCACCACCATGCCTGGCTAACTGATTTTCTGCACAGGGACAAAGGACAGTGACAAGAACAGGGTCCCTGGTAGTGAGGGCTGCTCACGCCAAACTACTGAGGCCCAACAGGAGCCCAGGGGCCAGCGGGAAGGATAGCCACAGAGCAGGCGGTGAGTAGTCTGGTCCCGCCTCCTTTCCCACCCTTCTCATGCTGGATCCTTATGGCCTCCTGGTGAGCAAAGGAGGGACTTAAGTTTGTGCAGGTTTGTGTGGGGAAACCATGGGACTTCTAACCCAGAGCAGTACTCACATGAAGGATGGACCCTGCCTTGCTCTTTAACTCAACCTTGGGCTTGGTTGGCCCAGCAGTACTAGGGCCTACTACCAGGCAGCTGGGCACTTTGGTCAGTTCTGGGCTGAAGTATCTCCTGGAAGGCAGGGGACGGGAAGTTTAACCACTGTAGAGGGAATCTCACAGGTGTGTTCCATGGCCCTAGATCCCTTGCATAAGAACCACCTGTTAAGTTTGGTAAACCTCCATTTCTCCCCTCTCCCCAGCCCCACCCCCACTTACTGCCCCACGGTCCGGTCCTTCAGCTGTCTGCATGGCACCCTGCTCCCCAGGCTGTGGCACACAGGGATTCCTGGATGGAGAAAGTCCAACCCTGGGACCACAAAGGGCCAGAGTTCTGTATTTTCCAACCTCCACTATCTGTGGTCTGTAAGGTGGGCCACCATCACACTGCCCGCTGGGCTCTCCCAGCAAGGCTAGGGCATGGGGGTTGGCAGTGGTGAAGTCCCCTCTTTCCCCTGCCCATCTGTATCCTTGGCCTGCTGGGCTCAGAGGGCCCTCACTGCTGCCCAGGGCCTGAGCCACAACTGCTCTGGGAAAATGGGCTAAATGGAAATGCAGGTGCCCAAGAGTCAGGAAGACTAGAGGGGATGGGCATGCAGCTCAGTGGTAGAGGATGCTCTTAGGGTGCACCAGGCCCCAGTTCATTCCTCATACCTCTAACCTCCAAGAAAAGAATCTGGAGTGGCCCCGGAGCTGCCAAAGCTCCCAAGACACGGGGGTGGAACTAGATATTAGCAGGTGGCCCTCTTTCCAGCTGTACTATGCCTCCCTGGGCCCCCTGCTTGTTTTCTTCTACAGGTGCAGAACCAAGCATCTGACCAGGAGGGCGGCCAGTAGCAGGTGGGAACCCTTCTGGGCTCATCAGCTCCGCGCCTCTTCCTGGTTGGCCCCTGCCTCCTGGTAGAACCCATGCAACCTGAGTACCCACTCCAGCACCGGGGCAATGGAAGCAGAGGCATGGTTCAGCCGCACTAGCCGGAAAGCCTCCCCATGGTGTTGGGTCTAGCTTTGTTGGCTGTTTCCAGAATCCTAGGGCTGGCGGGATGGGGGAGGCTCTGTATGGCCCAGCAGCAGCTCCCCATCCTCATAAAGCCAAGGCAGCCTGAGCACAGGGAGCATCACCGGCCCTTCCTGAATGCAGACACTGCCTTAGCTGCTCCCCTCCACGCATCTCCAGGCACACCAGCTGGCCCAGCTTTCTCTACCCGGTGTTGAAACCTTTGTGATCCTCCATTCTAACACTGAGCTGTTTAAGGTCCACAGTGCATGCCCCCTGCAACTCACTTTGCTTCCAGACTCCAGCCTACACAGCCATTCTTCAGAACAGCAGTACTATTCTTTATGTCCTGTTTTGACCTTGTTTTTCATTAGTATGATACTATGCATTCCAGACCTGCTCTAGGAAAATGTATTGTGTCAGAAAGGAAAAAAATACAATGTGCACTTCTTCCTGGTCAAGAGTTCCTATTTGTGGTCCCAGAACATTCTGGCCCTTGGGCTGCCCTGAGCCGGCACTTCCTGTAGAAGCTAAGGTGAGCCCTTGAGACACTCAGATTTTGAAGCTCATACCAAACTGGGATGCAGAAGCCCAGGCTGCTGTTTTTTCAAAAGCAGTTTACCGGCTCTCTCTAATCCAGCCCTGAGGACTCACCAGCAGAACTCAGCCACCTAGGGAAGACTCCACCTTTCTATCCTAGGAACAGAGCTGTGTCTAGCATCCCAATATCCGGGAACTCAGTGTGGACAGGTCACCTGCCCTCTCCCCAGCCCATGCCACTCAGGGCCTCCCAGGAGCTGAGGGTGGACAGAGGAACCAGATGATGAAGTCAGCCTGGAGCCTCACTTTTCACCAGCTGCGGTTAAAGCCTCCTGGACTGCTTTGGTGGGCAGAAAAGGATGGGATCTGGCTTCCACCCAGAGCACAACCCTTTCCAGCTACCCAACCCCTAGCTGTGCTCTTGGCCGACACTAAACCAGGGGATTGGGGTAAACACAGATTGTTTTCTGGGCCACGCAACTCTCCCTACTCTGTCTCAGCAGCTTCTCCTCCAAAGCAATTTCCCACATTAACCCCTGGAGCTGCTTCAGTAGTTCGGCCTATCTTTGCCCACTGGCTAAGTGGCAGGAATATTTAAGGCAGCTCCGTTCCAAGCCCTTGAAATGTGATCCAAGAACACATGACCCAGCTCAGAAGAGCCTTACTCTTAAATCTTAACACCAAAAATAACAAAAGACATTTTTCAGGTATAAAAAGGTTTTAGCTCAGATATTAAATATTAAGAAGGCACAGACCCTTGCCCATCCTCTCAAAACTAGCCCAGTTTACATGCGAGGGAGTCAGTGGGAGCCTGAAGGGGGCCACCTTTTACAAGACCACGGCTCCAGGTCTCATCTTTCAAGTGAGTCCAACTGAAGTCCATTCCAACATGGGAGTCGGCTTGTCTCACAGGTTTCCTCAACGGGGTTGTGGCTGGGAGCCAGCTCGAGTAGCAAAGCTCCTTTAATAAGGAATAGTTTGTAAAAAGCTGTATCTATGCAGCTGCCAGCACATCCGCTCTATCTCTCCACACCCTCTCCTGTGCTCCAACTTCTGAGGTCGGCGCAGTTAGGAGGCCGGCGGCGCAGATCCTTTTAGGGCTGAGGCAGCCCGGTCCTCGCCTCGGTCCTCGGCGTATATCGTTGCTCAGGCTTCGGCTTCAGGGCGGGGCGGCGGCGCCCCTTCGACGAGCTGCGCGCACCAGGCACTGCTGCAGCACCGGGTAGAGGCGCTGGCAGCCCTCGAGGCCCAGGCGCACGGCCTCCGCCCAGCTCTCGATCTGGCCCCCCTCGCCGCTGCCCAGCAGCCCGGCGACCTGATTGAGCACGGGCATGAGCGCCACCGTGAGGCCTGCAGCGGCGCGCTCCTCCTCGAGCCGGGTGGGGTCCAGCAGCCAGATGGGCGCCGGCCCTGGTGTGAGACCCAGGCCGCAGCCCACCACCAGGTCATACATCTCAACTCCCGCGTCGGCCAGGGCGAGGGCGGCGGCAGTGAGCGCGGCAGCCAGAGCCGAGCCGCCGTCTTCCAGCAGCAGCGCCGACACCTCGAGCTGCGCGCGCGGGTAGCGGCCCAGGCGCACGGCCGGCTCCAGCGCCTCCTGCAGCGCTAGCGCCAGCTCGCGTTCCTCGCTGCCACCCTGGGGAGCGCGGCGCCGGCGGCCCGAGAAGGGCGCGCGGCGGAACTCGCAGACCAGGCGGCCGCGCAGTGCGGCGGGAGCCTCGCCACCCGCTCCCGCAGGGCCGCTGCCGCGCTCGCCGCCCTCCGCCTGGCGCGGGCCTGATACGGCGCACAGCACCTTGGTGTCTCCGGCCTCCAGGTAGGCCGAACCCTTAGCCTGGGTCAGCAGCCCGGCGCGCGCGTACACGGGCCGCAACCGAACCGGATCGCGGGCGGCGGGCGCCTCGTCCTCGTCAGTTGCGTACAACTGCGGGGGCTGCGACTCCTCTGGCCCGCGGATGCGGCGGTGATCCCCGGGCATGGCAGCGACCAGCACGGGAGCCGCTTCCGCTCGTTGCCCTACCTCGTGCGAACGCTTCCGCCCGCTTAAAGACGCGCGCCTGCGCGAGGGCTGTCGGGATAGGGGCGGGAAGACGGGGCCACACCTCCCCCTGTCGGCCCGGAGGGAGAACAGTGAGCATCTCTGAGCCCTGGGGCTACAGTCTGGACGCTGAGGAGGGCTGGCCCGTGACCTGGACGGGCCAGCCGACCTCTATCCTCCAGGTTTGGCCTATCTCAGGACGTACATCTTCTTCCTTTCACCTGTGAAGGTTGCATTTTTTTTTTCTTTTTGTACCGGGGATTGAACTTGAGACCTTGCGCTTTCGAGGCAGGCGCCGGAACCACTGAGCTAAATCCCCAGCCTGGTTGTAATTATTTTTTTGTACTCGTGTGACTATCTTACACTTGACTGACTTATCAAAGGAGGTCTTTCAGCCCTCTTTACCCAGTGCTCCGGCTGGCATAAACACTTGGATGAATGGATGGAATGTCTTCCTATTCCTTCCTACACAGGTCACTGGATTGTGAAGTTATCTTTATTTTTTCTTTTCATGAGACAGAGTTCAGGCTGGCCTTAAACTTATTGTATAGCCCAGGCTTGGCCTCAAACTTCTTGTAGTCCTTCTGCCTCAGCCTCCCAACTGCTAGGAATACAGGCGTGTGCTACCACACTGCTCTATAATCATCTTTCTACCTCCACCCAACTCTCCTCACCTGGCATATACTTCTTGAACCCGCTCCTTCTCTCATACCCCAAGTGAGGGGTCCCTTCACCCCAGCATAGACATGCTCCTCCCAAGGCTGAGAGTTATCCTGGGTTCCAGGGCCAGCCATGTATTCAGAGGAACTTCCTTCCCTCTTGCACACTGATTTCAAACCCTGACTTTAGACTTGGACAGACTGGACTCGTCTTGATCCTTACCGACCATGAAGGAAACAGGAGGGGGCAGGCACTGGGGTGAGGGAGGCAATACCTATAACCTGAGAACCTTCTATATGAGACCACCTGATCTCTCATCAGCAGCTTCAGAGGAGGGGGACACAGGCCTAAGACATGGAGTTCTCCCAGGGGCTCTAAGAAAGGTGCTTCTTTGCTTTGAGTAACTCAATGAATCATTTCTAATGAATTATGAATGCCTTTCTCCATCTCACCCCACTTAGTCTGCCTCCAACTCCACAAATGTCTGAAGGCAACCCTGGGGGCCATTCTCAAAGCTTGGGGGTCTGGGGCTGGACTTGGTGAGGACCTCAAGGAGGAGCCAGCTGGAGCGCAGCATATGTTCTGCAGGGACCCAGACCATGTGGCCTGTCAGGTGACATCCCAGAGGAAAGGGGACAGGGATAACACAGTGTCCTCATGTATTGCACATGGTCCTTTTATTCTGAGGCAAAAAGGCCTCCTTCTGCAGACTCAGAAGTTTCAGGTCAGAGATGTTTTCTACAGACACGAGCACGGGGATGTTAAACAGCAATCCTGGGGTAGTGGTTTTAGACAGGTGGTGCTGACATATTGGGCTCAGAGCAGTAATGTAAAGGGACAGAGTCACAGAATGGCTCCCAGGCATGTTCCAGTTACTAGTGGGTTAGAGGACAGATGGAGCTGTTTGAGGTCCCCGAACTCGAATGCCCTTGTGCCATATGGAGAGCTCCAGGCTGGACTGATGTATCCGGGTGAGGGAGAGACGTTTCCCAGGGAGAACCACCCTCCCCTCAGTTCTTCACATCTCCCAGGTGCAGCTGGGCAAAAGAAGTCGCCAGCTGCAGCGCCTCCTGCAGGCAGCCCACGTTTTTGCCTGTGGCCTGGGCAGACACATCCTTGCCACCACCTTTGCCGTCCATCAGGCCTGACACCTGCTGCACCCACTCGCTGGCTTTTAGGCCCCGGTTGGCTGCATTCTGGAAGACAGGAAAGAGAAGTGAGAATCAGGACAGTAGGTGGGACTGGGAGGGGGGGACAGACAGACCCTACAGCTGGTAAAGGAAGTAGCCAGTGGCCACTGCTATGACCAGGAAAAGTGGCAAAGCCAGGTATGAGCCAGTACTGTTAAACATATTCACCAAAGAAAAGGCCTGAGGGTAAAGAGTGATGGAGAAAATGACAAATAGGTGGGGAGGAGATCAGCTGTTTCTCATGGAGGCTGCATACATCAGCCAGCCTCAGCAAACAGCAGAAAGAAGGACAAAACTCTAACAGATTTTGCTTCCCATTGGCCTGGGAGTTTGCAGGCTTTGGAGCAAGGCTACAGGCAGTCCTGACCTGGGGCACTTGACACAAGCAGGTGATCTTGCCAGCCTCGTTGTCCACTGTGAAGAGCATGGCAGATGTCTCAGGGGAATGGGTCTTGAAAAGCTTCAGGGCTTCATTCAAGGCCTACGGGGAAACTTGGTATCAGGCCATGGCCCTGCGGCAAGGGCACTGCTCTGAACAGGGAGTTTGCATAGCTCAGCCTGCAGAGCACCGCTGCACCCATTACAAGAGCAGGTGCTGTCCCTGGGAGCCCAAGTAGAGAAGGACGCAAGCCAAGACCCTGCCACACGCTGGCTCTGAGATCTGCCTCCACCTCAGGAGCTGCTCCTTCCTCCAGCCACCACATCTCTCTGTGGCTCAGCCTAACCTCAACCCTAGATAGTGGGCCCTCGGGTGACCTCAGAGGTCAAAGCCACAACACCCACCCATCAGCCACCAGAGGGCTGAGGCTAGGAGGGAAGGGGACATCAGTGACAGGCAGGGTGGTGCCTGGACCCCAGCCCCTGGTTGCCTTGGCCGAGGCACCGCTCTCCATCTCCAGGATGACCAGGGGCTGGTTGGGGTTGCTGTCGATGAGCTGCTTTGTCCTCTCCAGCACCTGCAAGGAGGAGTCCGGAAGAGAGGCTCAGGCAGAGGCCCAGAGCCGGAAAGCTGCAGAGGAAACCCTCCCAGCCTCAGCACTGCTGGACGCACTCGCTTCTGGACGTCGGCTTTGCTGGCGCGGTCTAGGTCGTCCATGACCTTCTTCAGGGATTTCAGAGTCTCCCGAAGTTCGTCCTTCTGCCACTGGGGAATAACTGCGGTGGCCAGGGCCTAGAACCAGAACAGAAAGACATGTGGGTCCGGGCCACAGGAGCTAGGACTTGAGGCTCCAGCCCACCTCCCCCTTGTGCATTTGAACCAAGATCCTCCCTGCCAAAGGTTCGGGAAAGGAAAGAACAAAAATGTAATTGCCGCCCCTGACCCCAGCTGCTTTGTAGCGACCACAGCAGCTGTCCCAAGCAGAGCTAGAGAGAAAGGAACTGCATAGAGAGCTCAGCTCTCACATAAGACCTGGTCCTTTCCAGCTGTGTTCATGGATCTAAGGGATCCCCTTTGCAAGGACACAGGATGACAGAAAGACCATTCCCCTGAGGACCAGGACCTGACTGGCTGCAGTGACAGTTCTTTAGGAACGAGGGGATCTCCATCCTCAAGCCTAAGGAACGAGCGGGGGTGGGGGGAGCCCCTACCTCACCAAGGTCCACGATCTCCCTCTGCACGTCCTTGTTTGGTGCGGTCTGGGCCTTCACTTTGGATTCCATGGTGGAGAAAGATTTCTTCAAGCTCTCTGCCTTCCTGAGGGCCTGAAAGGAGTCAGACCTGTAAACTCTGAGCAGTAACTTTCAGCCTTGCTACACTGTCTGTAAACAGCTTTGGAAGCGCTGATGACAGGCTGTGCAGCAGCAAACCCCAAGACACCACAAGTTTCTTTCCTTCAGGGAGCAAGCGCTGGCAGCTGTGGCTGCAGAAAGGAGTAACTTCCTCAAATGCTGGGGCAGCAAGGGCTGCACCCTAACTCAGGCTTAGGGAGTGATGACTTAAGAGCTCTTTCACCCCACAAAATGACTGCCCCTTAGGACGTGGCACATCCAGAGCAACTGTCCCTCTATGCCATGCATCTTGTACAAGGCACACACCACTCAGGATGTGTAGAGATGCAACGGAGCACCAGAAGCCACAGCAAAACTCTGGCTCACCCAGAGTAGGAGCCAGAACTCATGTACTTCCAAAGATTAAACATGCCAGCCAGGAAACCTTGTACAGTGCTGCCTTTCCTCTGCCAGGCAAGGTAACTGGAGGACATCAGGGGTAGCACAGTCTGCACTTTCATTCTGACTGCACAGACCACAGAACTGTGCGCTGTATGGGTTCGCAGATTGGGCCCCCCAGCCTCTTCCAATAACCACACAGCAGCCTCCCTCTCACCTTCTGGGCTTCAGCACCTGTGACAGCAACAATCCTCCTGATACCCTTGGCAATAGCTTCTTCCGTTACAATCACAAAAGCTCCTGCGTGACTTGAGTTTCGAAGGTGCCTGAAGGACGGAACATGAGTCCTCAGAGAAGAGGAAGTCCAGGCACCCTGGGTTGCTCTGCCTCCCCAGAGCTCTCAGTGGCCAGGACAGCTGAGCCCTGAGGCAGCTGCCCAGCGAAGAATGGGAAAAGCCTCTCAGGCCAAGGGAATTTCACTGGTTAAGCAAGGGAAAGGGGAGCAGTGCGAAGGGAAGAATGTCAGAGAACCTGGGCTCTGAGCTTCAGCTTTCTCATGTAAAAATGGGGACAATTCTCCCTTACATAGCTGTTGAGAAAACCAAATGAAAGAAACATGGCAGTGCTCTAACATCCATCCAGTATTACTGCTGGTAGGCTCCGTATGACAGTTTTAGCCCTTTGATGGAACATAAGCTTTATTTTTTATGTATTTATTTATTTATTTTGTTGGTACTGGGGATCGAACTCAGGACCTTGCATAAGCTTTATTTTTATACAGTAAGTCCCCGACTTAACAAACATTTGAGTTGTGAACTTTCAGACATAAGCAGACCTCACATTACAAACATTCACAGATCCAAACAAATCACGGAAGCAGCTCACGTATCTGCCTGACACTGTCACAGTTGTGCTGCTGTGTGCTTACTGTACAGTGCTCAATCAGAGCCCAGGATGTCCGGAAGCATGGTGATGTGGAGGGGACTGCTAGGAAGCACAAAGCGTATACACTGTACATTTGTGTCAAAGGTGTAAAAGACTCACTCTGTTTGACTTATGAATGAAT